CTCCCCCTTGCAGGCGAGCGGAAAGGGCCCGGGTGTGTTGAGATAAATGGCGTGTTAATGGGGCGCCAGGCCCGGGCGAGGTTCGCGGGCCGGAAGCCTCCGGGTAACCCTGTTGGGGCGGGGACCCGTCGGACTTTCCCCGAGCAGGGGGCAGGGTCCTCGCCTCCAGCGGCGGCCCCGCCGGGCTCCCGGAGTCTGGAAAATGGGCGCTCTCCGGGCCATCCTCCGGCTCTGCCGTTGCAGCCCGGGCTCTCGGGGCGCCGGGCCGGACCCCGGGGTGTGGAGCTGGCGTGCTCGGGCCGCCAAGTTAGCCGCCCGGACCCGGGCCGGGAGCCCGCCCCAGCCTCGCCCCAACCCCCAGCCTGGGCGCCCCGCAAGCCGACCCCCGGGGGCGCGCGCCGCGGCTTCAGGACGCGTTTGCCGCCTTTCTGCGCGGAGCAAGCGTCAATCCAGGGACGTTTGGGCTGTCAGAGGAGCCGCCCCCCGCGAGTGGCCCGCGGGCGCTCTGGGCCGCGCGGCGACCGAGGGCTCGTTGGCTCCCGGGGGGCCGGAGCCCCGCAGCGGGGCTGGCGCGCTGGTGCCCGCGGTGCGCAGCGCCGGACGCGGGTTTCGTTCCTCCGGGGAAGCCCGCGGCCCGCGATGCCACGGCGGGGTGGAGAGCGAAGCTGCGGAGTGGGGCGTCGCGGACCCCCCAACCCCCGGGGGCGGCTGTCCGCGCCCTGCCGGGCCCGGCCTCGGTTTTCCCGACCGCAAACCCTAGGGCGGGTGGGCATTTCCCCCCGCGCCGGGGGCGGGGGCGGAGGGTGTGACCGCCGCGGAGCCGCGCGAGGGGCGTCCCGCCCGAGGGGGGCGAGCGTGTCCCCGCCCCGGGGCTGCACCTGCCGCCGGGCCGCGCCGCGATCGCGGCCTCCGCACCAGAGGCCCCCGCCGCGCCCTGCCCGGGGGCGCGTCCCGCCGGCTCCAGTCCCCAGCCCAGCTGCCCGGCCCTCAGCGAGCCCCCGGCGGGCAGAGGGAGCGAAAGCAGGCGGCGGGGAGGGAGAAGAGGCCGCAGACCTCAGAGCCCGGGACCCCAGGACGCAGCGAGGCACTCACCGGATGAGGAAACCGAGGCACAGGCAGGGCGGTGCCATCCGGGGCCCCGTGCCCGCTGCACTCACCCCCACGACGCGAGTGTGTGCGTGGGGTGGGGTGGGGTTCTGTGTCCCTTTCCCCGGCCCGCGCGGGCCGACCAGCTGGAGAAAGTGGAAGGGGGGGGCCCTAGGGACACCGGTACCCCCGCCCCCCGCCAGCCGCAGATGCCCGGCCCCGGAGCCCCCGCGCAAACAAGCGCGGTGTTTGTCCAGAGCACCGCGGGCGGCGCGGCCCGAGAGCGACGAGGATTCAATGGAGCCGCGCGCCGCGGCGGGCGCAACGGAGCCCCGGCGGGCGCGGGGATCGATCCCGCGCAGCTGTCGCCGACGCGCCAACAGGAGCATCCCCGGCGCGGGCCTGCGCGACCCGACGCCCCCAGACCGCTGGATGGTTGCTCCGGAAGTCCGGCCCGCTAGGGGCGAAACCCCAATGTCACAGCGCCCCAGATTCTGTGCTTGGAATGGCCGGCGCCCTATGTGAGGAGTGGCACCTTAGGGCGCAGCGCACGAAGCCTCTCCGGACCTCCACAGGCTGGAGAAACTTAGCCCTGGCCCCACAAATCTGGACTCCGCTGGCCCCTCCCAAACGAAGCCACAGGAGTCGGGCTAAATACACACTAGCTCTCCAGGTACATATGGGGCAGGATTTGGGGAACCCGCAGGTTTGGGGAGTTGGAGCTGTAAAGCTTGAATCTCTGAGTTGGAGCAGGGATGGATGGGGCATTAATCACTACCAATTATTAAAATCACACTCTAATACAAAAAGGGGTGCACAGCAACCAGTGATTTACATTTCAGTGGGAGGAGAATCCAGTCAGAGTGAACCGCAATGGTGGCGGGGGTCTAGGGCAGGCCAGGACTGTAAAAACCTGGGGTGTTTTCCCCTCAATAGTTTTAGCTGCAGTGTGGGGGTCAGAGCAGCAGGAAACATGACCTGCCCAGAAGCTGGGGTTCCAGATGGGGAAGGGGACCATCACTGCCCTTGGGGCGCTAAGGTGGCTGGGAGTGGGGGCCGCAGAGTTCCAGCGGTTCTCAAGATGGCTAGATGTTTTGTCAGAGGGCCAGAGGCTGCACTGGGTCTCTGGGCACAGTCAGGGTGAGCAGCGGCCCAGGGGCAGCCCCGCACTGGCAGTGCCCAGGAACTGCCAGGCCCAGACTGGGATGCTCCACCTCCGGAGTTCAACCTTCAATTTTCCTGAGGGGTGGGGGATACTGAGGCTAGAGGGCTTGTGAAAAGTGCCTGAAGTCTAGGCACCAGCAAGAATAGGGGTGCCCTGCCCCCATCCAGCCCACCCCTCCCTGGCTGGCAATTTGCCTAATGACCTAAGATCGATCTGGGCCCCAGCCACCCTCCCCTTAGCCGGCTCAATTCTATTTTACTAATTACTAAAAGACCGCTGTTGGGGAGAGCTGGTTCTGGGGCTCCAGGAGGCCAGGCTAGCTCTCTGGAGGTGAGCAAATTTTTGCTCAGTCTCCCAATGGGAAGGCAGCCTCTCTGGGAGCGAAATCCCTGCCCTGTAGCAAGTCCTGGCCAACCTAATGGACAGAGGCTTTGGACCTCTGGAGGAGGCTGGTTCCACAGTGTGGAGGGACTTGGGGTGTCCTAAGGCACAGAAGGAGTCCCTTCATCTCAGAGCCACCACCCACCTCTTTTCTTTCAAAATGGACCCTGCCTTCCCCATTAGAGAAGGCGCACAGGCTTGTCGAGAGATGAACATGATCACCAAGGAAAAACATAAAGAAGCAAATGGCTGCAGGATCCCCACCCCACAAAGCAGCCCTGGGTTGACATGTGGGAGTACTTCCTCCTCCTGTTTCCCCAGCCTTGGAGACCCCCAGGCCCCACCTGATTTGTGCCTCCTTGGACCTAGGATGTGATCATCTTATGGAGGCTGATTGATTTTTAGATCCCATGATTATTTTTAATTGTACGTGACTGTTGGAGGGTGAGGTTGGGCGAACCAGGTGGGGGATTAGCACAGCCAGAACTCACCCCTCAGGCCGGGAAGCTGCATAGAGAGGGGGGCTATCTGGTTGTCCCAACACGCCCCTCTCTCCCACCTCTGTTTGCCCACCTGGAGAACGGGTGTAATGACATATGACCTGACATTCTGCGGCAACGCTGGAACTGACAAGTTCATGGCCCAGAAGTGGGGGCCACATTAGCACTTGAACAGAACACCAGAATGAACCAGGGGGAAGCCCTACCCCACCTTGCCCTACCCAGGGCCTGAGGCAGCTGGAGTGGGGTGGGAAACAGCAGGCAGTTGCTAAATGCTGAGTCCTGAAGCACTAATGGGGGTTCCCCATACCCTGTGGACTGGGATCAGGCCACGCTACTCTTTGGCCCCCCAAACTCCTCTGGTTCATCCAGGGCTCCCTCAACTCCCTGGCCCTCCTGCAGTGTGAGCAGCACCAATGCTCATACCAGGAGCAGGGGAGCTGCCAGAAGGCTCCCTCCCACATCAGAGGGGGGCACAGTGCAGAAAGGGCCCTAGTACAGGGGCCAAGCCGAGAATCAAGTTTCATAAGAGCAGCCACAACTACCTGGTTGAAAATCGGCTTGAAGAAGGGGTGGGAGGTACAGATGGATGCCAGGAGAAGGGCGACTCCTAGATAGAGACTCCCGCCCCGCCCCCAGCCTAGAGGTCTGGCGCTCCCTGCTGAGATGGGGCTGGTTTGGGGATTCCCTCCCCACCTGAGTTGCCTGGAGATGGGGACACTCTCTGGGGAGCAGCTAGCCCTCAGGAACCCCTCCCTACCCTGTAGGGGACCCCACCGGTGGAATCACCTGGGAGGTCTCTGCCTGTGGGAGACCCGGGTGCTTCCCATTTGTTCCAGTTGCCCAGGGTCTCCGGGCTCCACCTGGAGGACCAGGAGCATCTTTGCTCCCCACCCACCCCAAAAGAACGCCTTGGGAAGAGGGAGGGTTGAAGCAGGGGCCACTGGGGAAGCAGAGAGGGAACACATCCTTGGCCGTCTGCACGGAGGGGGGCAGGGGCTCTTTAAGGGTGATCTCCAAGCTGCTCCCGCCTGGGGGTGGAGGGACTAGGACCTGGGGAGGGAACTCTGGCACCCCCGAGGCCAGGCCCTCTGGGGAGGAGCTGGGGAAGGAGGCCCCGGGGCTCACCTAGGGCAGGGGAGGGCAGACCCAGACACTGGGGACAAACGTGCCCTGCCCCAATCTGGGGACCCCTTCCCCCGGCTCAGACCCCCGAGAGAAATCTGAGAGGTGGGCTGGACGCCTCCCGAGGTGAGGACGCCTGGGCCGCAGAGACACCTCGGAGTGAGCAGGTGCGCGGAGCGCAGGGTCGCAGCCCCCAGCAAGCGCGCTCCGAGCACTCCCTGGGGACGGACTCGGGGGCGCGGGGCAGGAAAGTAGCCTTCGTGGCCCTCTGGGGAGAACCCGGGGAGACCCCAGGAGGAGGCCGCGGGCCCCGCCCCGGCGGAGTCTGCCGTCGGACCCCCGCCCGCTGTCCGCGGGGACCGCCCGCCCCCGGGGGTGGCGGGTGGGCACGGAGGCAGGACCCCCGAAGCCCCGAGTCCGGCCCACCCCGGCGCGCCCGGGCTCGCGGGGGCGGGGGGCGCGGGGAGCGCGCGGCGGCTGGAGGCGGGGGTGAGCGGGGCGGTGGGCGGGGGCGCTGACGTCAGGCCGGGCCCGGGCGCCGGCGGCCGCTCCCCTCGCCACATCCTGGTGGCCGCTCTCGCAGCCGGGCCGGGCCGTGCGCCGCGCAGCCGGGCGTCCTCGCGCGCAGCCACCGGGGAGCCGGCGGGGACCATGCGGCGGCCTTGAGCGCGCCGGGCCGGCGCGGAGGAGCGCGCGCGGCGGGCGGGCAGTCCGGCCGGGGGGCCCGCGCGAGGCGGTGGAGCATGGAGCTCAGCCTGGAGAGCCTGGGGGGCCTGCACGGCGTGGCCCACGCGCAGGCGGGCGAGTTGCTGAGCCCCGGCCACGCGCGCTCGGCGGCGGCGCAGCACCGTGGCCTGGTGGCGTCCGGGCGCCCGGGGCTGGTGGCCGGCATGGCGAGCCTCCTGGACGGCGGGGGCGGCGGGGGGGCGGGCGCGGGCGCGGGCGGCGCGGGCGGCGCGGGCGGCGGCGCCGACTTCCGCGGGGAGCTGGCGGGGCCGCTGCACCCGGCCATGGGCATGGCCTGCGAGGCGCCCGGCCTGGGCGGCACCTACACGACGCTCACGCCCCTGCAGCACCTGCCGCCGCTGGCGGCCGTGGCCGACAAGTTCCACCAGCACGCGGCCGCCGCGGCCGTAGCCGGGGCGCACGGCGGCCACCCCCACGCGCACCCGCACCCCGCGGCCGCGCCGCCCCCGCCGCCCCCGCCGCAGCGCCTGGCGGCCAGCGTGAGCGGCAGCTTCACCCTCATGCGCGACGAGCGCGCGGCGCTCGCCTCCGTGGGCCACCTCTACGCGCCCTACGGCAAGGAGCTGCCCGCCATGGGGTCGCCGCTGTCGCCGCTGCCCAACGCGCTGCCGCCCGCGCTGCACGGCGCCCCGCAGCCCCCCCGCCGCCGCCGCCGCTGGCCGCCTACGGCGCGCCCGGGCACCTGGCCGGGGACAAGCTCCTGCCGCCCGCCGCCTTCGAGCCGCACGCCGCGCTGCTGGGGCGCGCCGAGGACGCGCTGGCCCGCGGGCTGCCCGGAGGCGGCGGCGCCGGCGGGGGCGCGAGCGCGGGGGGCGCCCAGGGGCTGCTGGCGCCGCTGGGCGGGCTGGCGGCCGCGGGGGCGCACGGGCCGCACTCGGGCGGCGGCGGCCCCGGAGCCGGCGGCGGCGGCCCGGGGCCCGGCGCGGCGGCCGAGGAGATCAACACCAAGGAGGTGGCGCAGCGCATCACGGCGGAGTTGAAGCGCTACAGCATCCCGCAGGCCATCTTCGCGCAGCGCATCCTGTGCCGCTCGCAGGGCACGCTCTCCGACCTCCTGCGCAACCCCAAGCCGTGGAGCAAGCTCAAGTCCGGCCGCGAGACCTTCCGCAGGATGTGGAAGTGGCTGCAGGAGCCCGAGTTCCAGCGCATGTCCGCGCTGCGCCTCGCAGGTAGGAGCGCGCCGGCACCGCCGGACCCCGGCCGCGCGGCTCCCCGGCAGCAGGTGGGGCGGCGCGGGGCGCTCGGGACCCCTCCCCGCGCCTGGGCCCGCGCCCCGCCGGCCTGCCCGGGACTCCCTTGCGGGCGGAGAGCGCGCGGAGCGCCCTGCGGGAGCCTCCAGCCTGGGAGAGGGGTTGTGCCGCCTTCCCCGCCCAGAGCCAGGCCAGCGCCGCGGGGGAGCGTCTGCGTTCTCTGGGAGACTCCGGGAGGGTCGGGGCCTCTTTCAGGAGCAACTTGCAGATAGCTCGTGGGTGTGTGTGTGTCTGTGTGTGTGTTGCGGGGGGAGATGCTGTGTCCCTGGACGCGACTCCCCTCCTCCCGAACACCCGGCCCTCGCTGCGCCCTGGCGCCCGGGCAGAGGCACCGGGAAGGGGCACCGCGCGCTCTGGCCCGAGCAGCCAGGGCAGGACCCGCGCGGTCCCCGGCCCCGGCTCGCCGCTTCTTTGTAGCTCGGCGCTCCGCGATCGATACCCCCTCCCCCGCTCTGGCCGCAGGCAAAGGTCACCCGAGAATCGGCGGGGGAGGGGCGCACGGGAGACCTCGGCCCGCGTGGCCCAGGGGCTGTCACACCCGCCCACTGCGCCCGCCGGCCAGCTCCTGGGTGCGGGCCGCTGCCGCCCTCGCCGCTTTGTGCTTGTCCTGTCTCCCTCGCCTGCTTTCTTTGCTGGGACAAATGTGTGCATTTTCCGCCGGCTTCCCCGTGTGCTCCCGCTCCTGCTCCTCCTGCGTGCTCTCTGCTGCTCCCTCCCGCCCTCCCTTCCTCTCTCTCTCTCTCCCTCTCTCTCTCTCTGCCTGTGTCTCTGTCTCTCTCACACCGGCTCGGCACTCCACCCCTGGGGACCCTGCTCCCTCCCCCTCCCAGCTGGCAGCAGCTGGGTCCACACCTGCCCCAGCCCCGCGGCCTAGGCCCCGTCTCCAGAGTGCGCAGTGGGGGTGCAGAAGAGTCCCCGCCACTGTGGTTGCAGCGGACCGGCCTTGGGTGGGGGGATCTTTCCCTGGCTGTGCTGGGAAGGGGACCTTGGGCACCCCAGCCTCTGGGACAATAGCTGCCTCAGGCTTCAGATCCATGGCTGGATCATGGGGGGGGGGCCTGGAGAAGGGTGGGGCTCAAGCTAAGCACCCCTAGGAGTGAGGGGAGGCAGGCAGGGAGACTGGGGGAGAGTGGGCTTCAGTTAGGGGTGAAGAGGTGACTGTTCCTCCCCTTTCCCCCAGGCACGCTGGACACGCCAGGGAGCCTGCACCTGTATGTGGGTGGAAAGTGAGGTGACCAGCCGGGCCTCCTAGGGGCCGGGGGCTCCTATGTGGCGGCTGCTGAGAGCAGGGGAGGTCATTGTGATGTGCTAGAAATGGTATCGGGAAGGAACCCGGACAGTTTTGTGTAAGGATAAGACCCGCTGTCCTTTGCAGTCACATTGCAGTGATACATGCGATCACACAGGTGTGCCTGGCGTGCACTCGCCCATGTCAACAAACCCCCCCATTTGCCCCCAGGTGACATCAGGTAGGAGGGTGCACACCCCCATGCCTCCGGCCAGAGGCGTGACTCTGACGCCTCTGATGCCAAGTACACGCCTCTGATGGCCTGTGGTCTTCCATGTTGCCATCGGGGCCCCCCTTCTGCCTTCACAAGGTGTATATTTCAGGGGGTGTTGTGTCTGGCAGGGGTGGGCCCAACAATACATGCCACTGTCCACCTTCCCCACGTCATGCGACTATAAGGCCCGCTAGAATGGTCACGGAGGGCCACCCGAAACAGACCACGACTCCCCAGAAGACAAGGTGCAGGCAAAAAATCCCTGTGGGTGCTCCTGCTGCTGGGCGAGTAGTCTGGGTCTTCCTTCAGATGCCAGCAGAGTTACAGGTGGGGAAACTGAGGCTGCAATGCCGCCCAGCCTGGCCTCCCGGGCATCTGTATTCCGGCAGGCGGGCGGTCTCCCTCTCCAGGCATCCCTCTCCCCTTTTGAGAAAAGGGGCCCCTGGGGTGCCTGCTGAGTGCAGGACCTTCCTGCACGGAGCCCCCTGCAGGGCACTTTAGCCCAGGGATGAGGCCTCCGCGTCTGTCCCCAGCTCCTCTGGGCACTTGCCCAAGCCTTGGCCTCACTGATGAGTCCCGTCCATGCCGGGGTGCACACACACTCAAGGTGCCTCCAGTGTGCTGGGGGCCCCCCAGCAGGTACCCCCAGTGTGCTGGGGTCCTGTCCACACCGCTGGACTCCGCATAGGAAGTTAGAGGCGGCCTGGCCCAAAGCCGAGGGGTAATTAGGTGTGGGCTGGCCTGGAGGCCTTTAGTTCCAGTCGCTGAGCAAATGAAAAGCGGTTAAGTGGCGGCAAATCGCTGTGGTTAAGGGAGGCCGCGGGGCTTGTCCCCCTCCCCAGTGTGTCCAGTGCTCTGCCCGGCACAGCTGCCGTCCCACCGCCTCCGGGTACCCCCAGAAAACACCTCCCCCGGCACAATTCAAGCCTGCAGGGATCCCCGACCTGCCCACTGCGGTCTGCGTCTGGCCCAGCGCCTTTCCAGGGACCCTCGCGCCCCCCCACACACCCCACACACCCCACACACCCCTCAACCCCCGGCCTGGCCACTCTCCCAAGCTGCTGGGGGAGCTTGGGGCGCTGTCGGGCGCTGGGTGCGGGCCGGGAGAGAGAGGGACACGCGAGCAGAGGTGGAGGGAAAGACTGGCCGAGGAAGAGACAAAGAGGCGGAGTGAACAGCGCAAGGAAAAGTGAGGTGGGAGACGGGGAAACCCAAGTGGCGACAGGAAGAAGAAGGGGCGCAGGAGAAGAAAGGGGGGGGGGAAGACGGGACCTAGTGAGACCGGGCTGCGGGAGCCTCCCTGGGCCTCTGGCCTGCCGAGGCCTGTCCCGCCCTCTCGCTCCAGGACGGGGCGGAGCTGGGGGCCGGGCTGGTTTCTGTCTCCCTGGAGCCCTCAAACACCTGACCACGAATCTCAGGGTCCCTCACCCTGCCGCCCCGCGCGCCTGCCTGCGCCGTGTGCCTCAGTTTACCCCTCTGGAAGATGTGCCTGCTCTGGGGGAGCAGATTCTGGGTCTCACATTCTGAGATTCTTGGACTGATTTGTCCCCAGGACGGCCCCCCTGCAGCCCCCCCAATCCCACCGCTGTGAAACCAAGGACCTTACCCCGCTCCAGCCAGGATCCTGAGTGGGGCAGCTCTAGTTGCCTCCTCCGAGGAGCCCTCCCCGGTTCTAGCTCAAACAGTAATTATGGGAGCGGGCTGGGGGCGGGGATGGGAGGTGGACGCCCGGCCGGCGGGTGGGGGTGGGGGTGGTCGATGAATTCGAATTACCGATTCCAATTCATCACCCGCGCGGGGTCGATGGCTTGGGCCTACTTCAAATATTGTTTAAATTGCAACTCGGGAGGAAAAGTATTTTTTTGTAACTGATCAGAAATATATGTGCAAGATGAAAGATCAGACGCAGGCAGCGGGAAGGAAGGCTCTCGCGGCCTCTCCCCGGGGCCGAGTCAGGGCAGCCCAGAATGGGGGGGGGCGGGAGGTCCTGGGGATAGAGACCAGTACAGGGGAAACTGAGGAAGGGAAGGAGCCATTTCTGGAATCACACCGCCGACGAGGGGCGCGCAGTGTTGCTGGCTGTCAGGTGGACTGAGCAAGCAGCATGGGGGCCAGGGGCGGGGTTCGGCGGGGAGGGGCGGGGTAGAAGGAGAAAGGCAAACCTGCCCTCCACCCCAGATCCTGCCTGCCCCCATCTTTGCCCCCCAACTCTGCAACCACTGTCTAGGACAGGGGTTGGAATGGGGGGAGGGGAGAGGGTCTGAGGCTGAAGGGACCCAGCCAACAACATCCAATCCCAGAGGCCCACTTGGAGGAAGAGCTGTGCATCCGCCCACAGGCCCTGGACAGCCGCCGTCCGCCCAGGCCCCTGCCTCTTCTGCAGAAACCTCTTCTCCAAAGGAGAGGAGAGCCACGCCTCTTGCAGGACCCCTTCCCCTGAAGACCCCAGCAGCACACTTGGAGTCCCAGGCCTCACCTGGGTGAGGGTACAAACCTCAGTTTCCTTATCTGAGAAATGGGCAGATTCAATCCCCCCTGTAGATATTTGTTGAGACTATTCTCTTTTTTAAGATTTATTTATTCATGCATACAAGAACTGGGGCACAGGCCAGAGGTGTGGAGGGTGAGAGGATTCACCAGAGACAGAGTGGGGAACAGAACAGGCAGAATGACTGACATACACTGCTGAGGGGAGCAGCGGGGAGACAGGAGAGGTCTGCCATGCCATGTGGGCAGCTCCCTCGAGGTGGGGCGGGGGATCAAACTTGTGCTGCAGAGGCTATGGACAGCCTCATAGTGTGGTGCTTAACCCCTTGCGCCCCCAGGGAGGCCCTGTTGAGACTGTTCTTATTCTACTGCCCCCACAGAGGCCTCAGGGCAGTTACAGATCCTGCGCCCTAAGGGGTTGCTTGATTACCATCGCATACTCATTTCTGCTCATCTGTGGGGGCTCCTGGTCACCCCGAGGCAACTATGGTCCCTGTGGGAGCTGCACACTGAGCAGGGAGTGCCAAAGGGACCCTGGGTCTGGTGGGAACACAAGGCCCCCACAAGGATGCAAAGAGTAGGGGGAGACAGTGTCTGGGGCCATGTATAATGCCAGAGTGACTCTGGGTCCCCCAAACTAGCCTCCTAGACTACAAGCCCAGCTGCAGGCAACCCCAAGACCCCACCTGGGTTCAGTGATTCTGGTCGCCCCAGAAGGGGATGGAGAAGACGAGCTGGGATGCCTAAAGCCCCCCTCCTTGGTTCACCCCTCAGGAATAAGAGGTAGAATCACCCAAAGGAGCTTTTCAACTGGTGCTGTCATGGTTCCCACTTTGCTGACCTGAAGCCAAGCCTGTCCCCGGGGAAGGAGAGCAGGTGCCGGGAGGAGGGAGAGCAGACTCAGTTTCTCCCCCAAGTGAATGGGGTACG